CACACACACACACACACACACACACACACACAGAAACGTAAGCCCTCTGGCAAGGCATTCAGTCAAGGCCAGTGGCATGCCCACACTTGCCCTGTGCCTCCCACTGTACAGGCAGTGCATGAATAGCTCACACATGCTGCTCACTGCCATATCTTATTTTAACTTTAATTTCTTACAAAACAGACACCTTTCTTTCAACCCATTTTGATGTTGACACTGACATAAACTATCACACAGGTATTTTGTGTGCGAGCAACAGGCACTGTCTGACCTTAGAAAGTATAAGGTGATTGGACGGTAATGACTTTGGGTTTTGTATGATTTTCTCCGAAGACAAGGAATATTTACTGGTACAAACATGCATATAACAGACACACACACAGACATACACACACACACACACACACACACACACACACACACACACCTCACAGACACACACACTCTAACCTGAACTTGTGACAACAATTACACCAATGCTCACGAGTTAACAGGCATCAAAATTGAATTCCTGATTCTATGTGAGATGTGAGTGTGTGCGAGACTATGCCCCGGGCTTGTGTCACAATTGGATAGGCCCTTTAGCCAGCAGAGAAACACACACAGGCTCACACACACACACACACACACACACACACACACACACACACACACACACACACACACACACACACACGGCTAATTGCCGTCACAGAGTTTTGAAGTCACAACTCAAGCTCATTAGACCCGCATGTGACAGTCGACCATCCATCACAAAAACTTGCTCCTGTGATATAAATAGAAGCCAGGGGCAGCATGTCTCTTCAAAAACAGAGATTTAGTCCTTGTACTGATGAACATTTAAAGTTGTGGACATTGTTGTCATCGGGGAATTAACTAAGAAGTGTAGCATGACCAATTTTGGGGTCAATAGGCCCTTATCACAGCAGCCATTATGGCATGTATTTTCAGGATTAATATAAATTTGATTAATAACATTAATGATGGTTCTGTAGGTGGGCTAGGGCCCTGGTATTGTAAATGCTGGCTCACTGGAATGACTGACACTTAATAACCCATCATTTATACTATTAATTACACCTGTGTTTACCCCGAAATGTCATGTTAACATGGCTGCTGTAATAATACTTATTTAGTGAATATTTCATATCTATTCTCTACTAATTTTGGTCAGTGTTGGGGATGCAGCTATTACTTCTGATTGTCCCCTAAAATGTACCTTTTAAAAGGAGATCTTTATTGTTACCTTTCAAATGAACTGCTAACTCATGAGTTTACCTATAATCCAGATTAATCTTTTGAATACAATCAAACTTTGCGTACACACGAAAATAGTCCTAAATAGAAATCTAATCCAGAATAAGGGAAAACACCGGTTTGAGTGGAACACAGGTGTCTAGGGGCTTGAGGAAGTCCCCCCCAAAAAATGGAAAGCCATCGGACAATAGAGCTGTGTCCAAAATCACTCACTTGTTCACCCGCTCACTACTGCATGTATAGGAGTGAGATATGCAATAGTTTGTTTTATATTTGGGAGTAAATTGAGATTAGCTGATCTATATTTTTATAGAAAACATTTGGATTTCTCAGTAAGAAAAAGCACAGGTGTTAGGAATAACATTAAAGATCTCTTGCCATGAAAAATACACTGAATTCAGCCATCTCTTATTTCATTGTTTACATGTGCTGTGCTTTTCAGACTGTTACATGTCACAACGTGTGACATCATCATATCTAGTACATACGTGTTTGTAGGTTGTAGCAGGTATTACTAATAACAAATGATGTGTGTGTGATTGCAGACGACAATATGAGGATGTGAGCAAACAGTAATGGCAGATCCGAAATCACTTTTTCAAGCTTCCCAGGCCAACGAGTGACTTTTGGAGAATTAAGGTAATAAAAGAACACAATAAACTACATACAACCAAATCTTCTCATCGCAAACTTTTGTACATTTAGCTATTTAATGGTCAAAGAAGAAGAGGCAATTCACAGGAAGAGTAAAATATGTTAATAAAACATTCATTCTTTCTTCAAAGGTTGACAAAAGAAGACTTACTTTAGTTAGTTCATTAATATCAAAAACTTTGAGGGCATTTCAAAAACTGTTGAGACACAGCTGGAAAATAATAAATAGAGAAGGCTATGAAGAATGTAAATGTTTTAGGTCTTACCCCGAGCATCTTGTAGAGATAGTGATACTGCTGTCCAGTGGAGTACAGCAGAAAGGTCTTTAGGAAGAGCCAGGTGTTTGCTCCCAGCCACAGCATCTACACACACAGCACAGGAAGTACAGTTAAATGTAGCATCATTATCTTAACATTGTCACATTAACATTAAGTTGCACCTTTCATAGGCTGCAACAAACAATACATCCTTTTTCATATTAAAGTATGAGGAGGCTGCATTGATAGCGTATACAGGCTACAATTCCCTCACTTTAGAGACTTGACAAAAGACAAAATTACTGTCAATTAATGTCTAGCCTCCTCGGGGTGAAAGTTGGTACCGAACTTCGTGAAACAAATTGCAAGTTATCTTAGGATAAGGTAAAAGTTGTTGCAAGAGCTCGTGAGCAGGTACAAAAATCACGACACAAGTGGAGTTAGCCAAATGTAAAACATCTGACAAAAGTTTCCCCACCAGGACCAAGTGCTTTCCTCCCTCGTTGGCGACCCAGCTCCGCACCGACACAACCATGATGCCTTCGCGGGCTCAGCAGCTGCCGAAACTTTTCCACTAAAGCCTCGGTGTGGCTTAGAGGTAGAGACTCGTCCACCCTGCAGCTCTGTCTCTATGTGCCTGTGTGTGTGGTGTGTGCAGATCCACAGACCGGCCGGTGTCTGCTCCGTCCCCCCTCCTCCTCCGTCCCCCCTCACTCCTCCTCCGTCACCGCTGACTGCTCTGAGCGCAGTTTGACTTTTCATCCCCCGAGAACAAGTCCTAGCGACGTGACTCAATCTTAAAGTTTCTCCTCATTTCACCTCAGTTGGCTTTACAACAGGCCTGAACTTTAAGTGAGCAGCGTCTTTAACATATTTCTAAAACACATTTAGGAATAAGGACTTTGTAGATAGTAAAGTAACCAACAAACACAATGGAGAACAATAGGCATTGCTACACTGCTACTTTCTGGCAATAGAGGGCGCCACAGTCTAACAATGAAGTGACCGTGTGTTCGACAGACATTCATTTTGGTTCTCTTCAGTAATGTACTTTAATTAAGTACATTTACTCAAGTACTATACCATTACCTAAGTAAGATTTTGAGGTATTTTACTTAAGTATTTCCATTTTATGCTACCCAAAACTTCTACTCCATTACATTTTGGAAGCCAATATTGTACTTTTTACTCCACTACATACATTTGACAAATGTACTAACTTCTTACTTTACAGATTCAGATATATATATATAAATAAACTAATACATAAACTATGATAGATAATTATAGGTTAATACATCCAGTAGTAGTACATCAATTCATTACATTAGCTCCACCTTTACCAGCAGTGAAAACATTAATGCATTAATGATTAGATATGATTCTAAAATGGGACATAACGCAGAATAACTACTTTTGTCACTTGAAGTCATAATACCTGGTATGGTTTGGCGTTTTATCATTAACTAAATCATGGTCCATTGATTGTATAAAAGTAATACAACATTGCATTGTTTTTTTTAAAACAAACAGTATGTTGCGGATGAGGCAGAGCTGCAGTCTGTGTCCTCCCCAAATTCCTGAGGGCAGAGAGCCTCCTCCACACTTCACGCTCCAGCCCACCGCATAAAAGAGCCGCACTTTAGCCCTCCCAGCTGTTCACAGGACCAGGAGGGGTCAAGCAAGACCAGGCCTGTAGAGCTTACAGTGTGGGAAAATATGTCAGAATATTAATAGCAATAGATATGCTGTAACTTGAGTTTCATCCTAAACTGAACCTGGAATATAACACTTTAATAAACTCACCCATTATCTACTGGGTAGCTATAGGATTCATAACTTTAACGCTATTTATTGTCTATTTTGTTGGGTGATAAGAAGTTATGGTGAATGACTTTATATGTCAACTTTATGTAAATTGAGATAGAGCAGATAAGAACAAGGAAGCTGAAAACCCAGTTCTGACAGGAAAAGAAAAAATAGCTAAAAGTTATGCATAATAGAAAAGATACACATAGTGGTTCCATTAGTTGTCTTTCTAAGTCGGAATTTTGACTTACTATAATTGCATTCGCTTATGAGATTCTACCTTAAAATTCTTACCAGAAAAAATTCTATTTTGACTTAGTAGGTACAAATAGTGATTTACTGTGAGCATCCTAATTATATTATGTCTAAATGTTCATGCATTTATGTTTGGGCTTCCAGATGTTATGTTATTAATGACATTTTTCACTTTTGAATATGGATATACAGTATGCTTCTGCAGCTAGTGTTAATGGTATATGATTTATTATCTACCCCCTTTTTATAGCCAGCTATATTTTAGTTCCAGGTTAACTGGTTTATTTTAATGTTAATGTTTACTGTTACAGAAATGTCCATACAGATGGATATATTTTTCTAAATAGAAGCATGCACAGCTGTCAATCTTAAATAATGTCCAACATGTATTTTATATTCAGCTGACTGTGAAAGCCATATCAATTGATACACACCCACCCACCCACCCACCCACACACACACACACACACACACACACACACACACACACACACACACACACACACACACACACACACACACACACACACACACACACACACACACACACACACACACATCCATATAAAGCCATTCAGTGACCCCTTATCACCATATGAACACATGTTACTTTATTTTGTCTTTTTTTATGATTTAATCACCATAGATTATTTTCAAGACAATGCATTTATTTTTAATTCTACTGGAATCTGCGCATTCAGTGTGGCTCATGGAGACTTTTGACAGCTTTCTGACTTAATTATTACTTTAACAGCTTATTCTTGGCTGGACTCTGGATTCCCGACCATAGTTGAGTAACACTGAGTCAGCACATGCATGGCCAAGGAGCACAAGACTGTCATCAGCCTACTGGCCAATCATATCACTAATGACTAGCTCCCTCTTTGTAGTCCTCTGCAACCTGCCAGACACAGAAAGTCACCTCCCTCTCTCCCTGTCCCACTCTCACTCTCCCTCTGTGCTCTACCTAAACAAATTACTCCCTATCTCTGCGAGCGTGCTGTGCAGTTGTGTCGGCGCGTGGAAGCCTGTGGGACGAGCTGCTTTAAAATGAGAAAGGAGGGCAGGTTAACTCGGTGGATCGGATGGACTGTGGTTGTGGCAGCTTTGTTGTTGCTTGGTTTCATCATAGGTAAGACTTGATAATACAGCACAAACTTACACTCTACTGGACTGTTACTCACAAGTTATATCTACACTGCTATCTATGTCTGTTGTTAACAGAAATAACTTATAACTATGGAACTAATGATAGTTGCCCAGGACAAGTTTGTAAATGGATGTGAAGGCAGATGCTGAATTAACATGAATAGATACAAAACCTCAGGGGTGGAAGGTGTACTCAAGTCTTGTACTTAAGTAAAAGTGTAAGAATACTCTGTTACAAGTTAAAGTCATGTATTCAAAATTTTACTCAAGTAAAATTTGCATCTAAATATACATAAAGTTCCAAAAATAAAAGTAGAATATTTACCTCTGAAATGTAGTGGAGTAGAAGTACAAAGTAGCATCAAATGGAAATACTTAAGTACAAGTATCTGAAAATTGTAATTAAGTACAGTACTTGAGTAAATGTACTTAATTACTTAACACCACTGCACAACATAAGTACATACAATCTTTAATTTATTCGGAATAACTATCAAATGTTTTTATTTTTTATATTTATTTAAAAAAAACTATCAAATGTTATCATTGCAGTTAAAGTTTAATATTGAAGGTGTGTTATCATGTGTGTGCGTTTTTAGTTTGTCACTACTTTGATACATTTCACGTGTGCTTGCTCACAGCAGCTAACACATGCTGTCCATAACCACGACTAGATTTGAAATATAATAACTATGGTCATGCAAAGTTTGTCTCGATCTTACACAGCTGGGCAGTGAGTGACTAATAGATATTCGGTTTCTCCCTTACTGTAAGTCATAAAGTGGTTTCAGTCCTGAAAGAAGAGACACTGTTGTTATGCTGTATGGATTATGTATGTCTGTGTGTCTGTGTTTTGTAGGCTGGTTTGCAAAACCCACACATCCAAACACTCCAAACGATACTCCTTCCGGCAAGTATCTACGGGAGTTTCTGGATGAAATGCGGCCAGAGCAGATCAGAGAGCATCTCAGGTAAGAAGCAATACCAACACACAAAAACTCTCTATCCATCAGAACAAATCATCTAAACAACTGTAAACAGTCTTCAACCTTCTTTGAAAGAAAAGGTTTCAGCAGGGAGGGAAACATATTTGAGTTTTGTTCGGGAGTTCCTTGTATTCATATAGATAACAACACATAATATCTATATAGCGATTTTCCCAGTGCTCAAAGACGCTTTACAATAAAATATGAGAAAGAATAACAACAAAAACAGCCCTGAGCTAAGTTGAAAAAAGGTGGGTTTGGGTAGAGGACTATAGGTTGTTTTGACGGCTTTTATGCAGTGTATGTATTTTGAATGTGACTCGGAGGCTGCAGCGAACGACTGGTCGCCCCAGGTCTGGAACTTAGTCCTGATGGGCTGCAGTAGGTTAGCAACAGCAGAGCTCAGGAGATGGGTAGGGTTGTGTTGTTGAATTAGGTCACATATATTACCCCATTCACACCAACGGTGTTTCAGGGCCGGTTCGGAGCTGGAGCTTGAAAAGCACCGGGTTTTCCTCTTCACACCGCAGCGGAGCAGCCTCTTTCGAGCACCAAAAAATTGTCCGGCCAGAGCAAAAGCACTGCCTACGTCACGCTTACGTCGAGGCGGGGGAAGGGGCAGGGGCGGGATCAACTCCTGAACAACAACAAAAAGCCGGCGTTTTATCCAGTTTGTACACAACGATGGAGAAACTTAACAAGCAGCAGTGGTCCANCACATAATATCTATATAGCGATTTTCCCAGTGCTCAAAGACGCTTTACAATAAAATATGAGAAAGAATAACAACAAAAACAGCCTGCGTTTTATCCAGTTTGTACACAACGATGGAGAAACTTAACAAGCAGCAGTGGTCCACTGAAGAGACCAGCTACCTACTGGGAATCTGGTCTTCCGAAGAGGTACAGAGGAAGCTGGAGCACAATCGGCCATTATTGTTGTTGTCGGTGTCAGCCAGGCAAGCAAACGGTTACGTCATGAAGCAAACGATGACGCAATGACGCAGCACCAGTCGGACTCTGGGCAGTGTGAAAAGAGCCGGAGCTAAACCGAAGAACCGGTTCTGAACCTGAAAAGCTCTAGCACGGAGCTTGAACCGGAGTTGCGTTGGTGTGAATGAGGTAATAGGTAAGGGGGGGAGGAGAGGAGAGTGATGTATTAAATCACTCCGGTATCTGATCGCTAGCCAGTGGAGTTGACAGCTTTCTGAATTGGCACCAATTTTGCCATATGTTTTTCCATTTCACAACTATATCAAGCCAAACAGTTCACTTGCACAGCAACTCAATTGTTGGCATTTATCTTAGGCTTCTTAACCCCATGGGCGAGCTAGCGGGGTAGAAAAAAAAGAGGGGAAAAAAAGAAGAAAAAAAGACTAGAAACCTAAGTTACTTTATTTTAATTATTTATTTGATCTATTAGCATTTCCAAAGATTCCAAATAGAAAAATGAAGCATCCCTCAGTGTACTATAAACATCCTATAGCTTCAAAAAATGCTGTCCAACCATCTGGAAAAATACATAACATTAAAGACTTGATGGTGTATTCAAGTGCAGTCTCAGAACAAGAAACGCTTTCCATGCATTTTTACTTAAATTTGTTCTAACTTTCCAACAAATATCTCACTTTCCCTTGCTAATCTGCACATTCAAATGAAGTGCGTTATGGCCCAAATACATTTTATTCTGTAAGCAACTTCTAGATCTTTACTCACTGTTGACATTCTCTCCACAGGAAATTTACACGACTCCCACATCTCGCCGGTACAGAGCAGAATTTGAAATATGCAGAGCAGATCATGAAAGATTGGAAGGAGTACGGCCTGGACTCAGTGGAGATGGTGCCCTATGACGTCCTGCTGTCCTATCCCAACAAATCACAGCCGAATTACATCTCGATAATTGATCAGCTTGGCAGTGAGGTAGGCTACGACATGAAAACATCCAGTTAAATGCATTCATACTGAAAAAAGACAACGTGCGTTTTACAAAGAAGCAAAACATGTTGCATATCTTGCTAAAACCTCTTTTCGTGCATTCTTGTTTTTGTTGTTTGGTCCCATCTTCTATAGCATTAGCATAGCAGTCAGAGCCACGTTATTATAACACAGCCACCCGCTATCTATTTCAAAGACCATTTGCATGCATTGTATCCACTGTAAGAAACGAAATGTAATATATGCTTTAGTTTAATGATTTCCAAACGTTTTATGATATTGATCAATTTCTCCATGTTATTTTCTAACACACATGAACAAAAAAACTAATTTGAAAAAGCACATAACTTAAGGTGACCAGATTTTCAAAATGAAAACCGGGGACATTTTGAGTTTTGCAGTCAATATATCATTAACATATCCAATTGTCTTCACTGTTAAAGAAAAAAGGGGGACAATTCTGGTTTAATGTAATTCGAACATTTGAGCTGTTGGATACAAACAGAAGGAAGATAGCTCATGTATGAGACTTCAAAGGTCTTTTATTTTTAAACTGTACATCAGATTGTCCAGATTCTCTCTGAGTGACTAGATGGGGTGTCCTGCTATCACCCTGAAGTGAAATAAGTCTTTGATACTGGATAGTTTTTGTTTTATTCTTATCTAAAAACAGAGGGATAATAGCTCATATATGAGACTTCAAAAGTCTTTTATTTTGAAACTGTACATCAGATTGTCCTTATTCTCTCTGAGTGACTAGATGGGGTGTCCTGCTATCACCCTGAAGTGAAATAAGTATTTGATTGACTTCGAATGACTCCTTGATTATGGACGGTTTCCATTAAATAATAATCAAAATATAGATGGACAATAGATCTAATTTGAGATTTTAAACAGCATACATTTTAAATTGTGCTTCAAAGTAATGTTATTTTAGGAGTGTTGTGAGATGGTATCACACAATTAGTCACCCAGTGGAAATGTCAGATATGTCTTCATAACTGTATACTTACATTTTACATTCACTCAGTTATAATGTGGTAGTTATATGTAGTTTGTTTTAAATGATTATTGATCATATTATATAGTACATATTTCTTAATTTAAACTCCAGCATATGAATATGTTTGGTGTGTGTTTTAGGTATATTTGTTATTGCAATGGCGGCAGGTGCAGTGGGTGCAGTCACAGCTCTCTTAATACACGCAATACTTTTGAACTTTTTAAGACCTGTTGACATAAACCAGCAACAAAACGCACAATATGCGAACAAGGCTGATCTGTTGAGCCAACAAACCCATACAACTCTTGGAAACTTTGGATATGGGAAGCACACTCGAGCGGTGTCTCTCATTTTTCCATCTTTATACAAAAGTGTCTAAAGAAACACTCAAAGCCACAAGCTCGCCTTCAACAAAGTAATGCACTGCTAATCACCATCTGTCTGCTGCTATCTGGAGATATTCATCCGTGCCCTGGTCCATACCAAACTACACCAGAGAATGAAGCCAACATCACGGCGGATGCTACACGCAATACACATTTCCAACAGAGTGCTGTTTTGCCTACCCCAGGTGTCGGAGCGGCGGACGGCTGCGGGCTGGTTGGAGCTNGTATACCATTTTACATTCACTCAGTTATAATGTGGTAGTTATACGTAGTTTGTTTTAAATTATTATTGATCACATTATATAGTACATATTTCTTAATTTAAGCTCCATTATGATATATGAATATGTTTGGTGTGTTTTTTAGGTATATTTCTTATTGACCGAGTAAACGCTTTTATTTTGAAGACAGTTTTTACAGGCCTCTACCGTAATCCATAGGATATTCGCGCACCGCAATACAACGTGCTTTTGACTGTGTTTTCCGAAGTGGGGGCTGGCTTGACCAGTGTTTCCTGACATGAAACGTTTTATTTCACCCTACTATGTGTTTTTAACGTATATTAAAAAACGGGGAGAGTTTCAACCGGGGACAGGCCAATACAAACGGGGACGTCTGGTCACCCTAACATAACTGCTGCTGAGTCTGTTTAGGGAGATAACAAAGTTGCAGCGTCCACATTGTGACTTTTCAGATAAATTAAAAACACAAGACGGCTCATTCAGGTCCAAGGTCCTTTTATAGCTTGTGGCGAGATAAACCGCAATTTGTAGAGATAATGATACAGCACAGTAGCAAGCAAGAAAAACTGACCAGACTTTACAGCATGGCTATATCGAAGCATACTGCTAGGATGCATTCAGGATCACAAACAAAATCGGGTTTACATTTCAGCTTAATCAGTAACACATTTCAGCTGATACCCTGAGCAGCACATAGATACCAAGGTGAGTGTCAGACCACTGGAATTATATTCTACAGTAGAATAGGACAACCTGGTATCAGCCAATAATTCACAGGACTTGTTTTGGTATCAGACCTGTAAAGGACAAATCTAGCATTTACATATTGACCCCCTATTTACTCTGGGTGGGATTCAGGATCTGAATCACGCTTAAGTAAAAGTACTTATATAACACAACAGTGTGAAAATACCCAAATATAGGTTAAGTCATGCATTGAAAATGTAACATAGCTAATAAGTATTAGGCAAATTAACTAAAAGTATAAAGGTAGAAGTATTCGATGCAGAAAATGCCTTATGTGACTTAAGCAGCATTTTATAGTTTGCTAATGTAAAGCTAATTCATTTCAAACTTTTGTATATAGAGCTGCAAAAAAGGGTTATTGTCATAAAGGATTAATCTGCTGATTATGTTTATGAATCATTAGTGGGTTGTTTGGTTTGTAAAACTTCAGAAAATAGTGAGAATCAAAATGACTCAACTATTATTAATTTATTATTGAACACAAATATTACAGTAAAAATGATGTTGCCAATTGTAATGATAATTTATCATTAAGGTAATTGATTCATGAAGTAAATGTTAAATAGAGGGATGTAACAACAATTATCTGTGAGATACATTTATTGCAGAAAATAGTATTTTTTCCCCCTATAAAATGTAGAAGTAAAGCATGAAAATATGATATTTTAGTAAATAAAGGGTGATCTCATCAATATTTTTATCTAATTAAGTCTGTGCTCATCTTTCTGTCACAGGTTTTTAACACTTCCTTGGCTGAGCCTGTTCCTGAGGGTTATGAAGATGTGTCTAACATCGTGCCACCATACAGCGCCTTCTCTCCCAAAGGACAACCTGAGGTAAATAACAACAACCATACTCACAAGCAGACAGTGATGTTTGAATATGTTTTCACTGCAGAAGTAAAAGTCAACATGGAATATGAACATTACAAATCCTCACCGTCAGCTATCTGATAACCTGAGATGTCTCCTCTTTCTGTCTCTCTGTAGGGGGATTTGGTGTATGTGAACTATGGTCGAACAGAAGACTTCTTCCAGTTAGAGAGAGACATGCGGGTCAATGCTACTGGGAGGATTGTCATCGTCAGATATGGGAAAATATTCAGAGGCAATAAGGTAGGAAAAGAAAAGTCTTGGTCATCACTCCACATGAAAACCCACAGTTAAAGGATTTCTGTGACTGAGTTGTGCAATTAAATGATTATACTTATGGCTAGGTGTACTGGAAGAATACAATCTTTTTTCTCATACATCTTTGATTATTCAATGTGATTTGTCAATGTCAAACCATGCTATTTTCTGATGCACAAAGGAAAAAGAGGACAGCAATAAATAACATTTTGTTTACTAATAACTCACTTTACTCTGTATGCTCCACCAGGTGAAAAATGCCATGTTAGCAGGAGCAAAGGGGATCATTATGTTCTCAGACCCAGCCGATTACTGGGCTGCCGGAGTCCAGGTACAGTATTTTGGATCATTTTTTTGTTAATTTGTTCATTATAAAACTGTGCATGTGTGGATTTGTAACAGCCATTGTAGTTTGAACATTTGTTTTTCGACAACACTGACACAATTATAAGCCTTAAAATAAGTTTTAACCCATAAGTGACTCTGCAAACAACAACTATAAAGAAGTAGCAGATGCCAGACATAGCCTTCAAGAATGTACACTTATTCATGGTTATTATCTCTAAACAAATCAATATTGGAATCAAGGATACTAATTCAATCCGTGGATTCAAATCAAGCATTTTAAATGTGTTTGTTTGTGTTTGTGCGTGCAGCCATATCCTGATGGTTGGAACCTACCCGGTGGAGGAGCTCAGAGAGGAAATGTTCTCAACCTGAATGGAGCAGGAGACCCACTCACACCAGGGTACCCAGCTAAAGGTGTGTATGAGTGTCTATAAGTGTGAGAGGCTGAATTATGTGTTTGAGTTTAACTAACATAGTCATGTTTGCTCTCTTACAGAATATACCTATAGGTTAAGTCTTGAGGATGGAGTAGGTCTTCCCAAGATTCCTGTGCATCCAATCGGCTTCCATGATGCAATCAACCTGCTGAAGTAAAATCATATTTCAATCTTCTTTTCTTTCCACACTTTTAAAATGCAATCATTCAAATCAGTCATTTTTGAAGAAGGTCTACAGTGAAGTAAAGCTAATGCTAAAATGCACACAATTACAAGTTAGTGGTGCTCTTGTTAAACATGTGAGCATGCTACATGTGGTAATCGGCACAAAGACAGATGAGAATATCACATGTTTTGATAATAGTTTATCATAAATCAAATTATTAGACATGCATTACAAAATAAATCTAATCTCATGAGAAGTCAACATGTGTGGGACAGGAATGTATTTTATATTTACATTTAATAGAAATCCATGCAATAGTTGTTGAGATATATTCGCGTGGACCAAATAACAAAAATGTGTAAGCTTGTACTTCTTTTGGATGTTGAATTTGTATTGGCATTCTTAATGTATAAGATAAGTGCTTTGGTGTATAATATATTTGATTTTTGCTTCAACAGGAACATGGGAGGACCGATTCCACCCAACAACTGGAAAGGAGCTCTGAACATCTCCTACAGGATCGGGCCAGGATTTACGGATGACTTCAAAAGCCAGTAAGTGATAACATTTTAGTGGAGTGTCAAAGTGATCGCTTTTGTCCACCTCACCCTGCAATAACATGATTCTCCCTTCCACTTGTTTTTTTTCCTCACCACTTCGCTCTCCGAATTCACTCTGTAGTGGTTCAAGTGTTTGAATTGTCTCTCGCCTTGTTTTGCTCTTTTCTCCTCTTGCTCAGCCTTAATGACCCACCCAGTGGCAAGCAGCCAAATGTTATACAATGAAGGCCCTTGTATTCTCGGTGTGTGAAAAACATACGCACAGAACAAGCTTCTTAAATTAGGGATGAACAACGGTAACTGGGTCTATTTGTGCCTCATTATTCTTCTAAAGAAGGGAATTTTGAGGTGCAAAACACTTCTAAGAGGACTTCAATGCGGCCATTAAGAGGGTTAAATCTCTAACGCCTGCTTATTCTTCTTATATTCTTCTCTTCTTCTTTTTATCTGTCTGTGCTTTAATTGAGCTTAGCACAATGAACTAGGGGTTTCACCAACTAATCGACTAGTCGACTAGTCGACTACCTTTAACACTAGTCGGCGCTGTAGGCCCTAGTCAACTAGTCGTGAAAGAAATGGAGGTAAACGAGGTGCTGCAAAATGCTACAAAATACGTCCGACATTCTTATGTATGGCAGTACTTCAACGAAGATGTAACCAACTCCACAGTGAAGTGTCATTTGTGTACAGTGTTGGGCAAGTTACTTCCAAAATGTAATATATTACATATTACTTATTACTCTCTTTTGAAAGTAATAAGTTACATTACAATATTACTGTCTCTGAAAAGTAATGAGTTACACTACTTTAGTTACTTTCACCAAAATAACCGCAAAAGAATGGCTAGGTATTTTAAATGCTACAATGTAGTTATTGTACATCCAGTGAAGGGCAATGTGGTATAGCATAACAACTGTAGGTCCTTAAGGCTACTAACAACTTTTATTACACGGCTTAGTTGAATACTCGATTCTGATTGTAAATTCTTAACATGTGACACGTTGTTAATATAGCAGTGCAGGCCACTGTCAAGGACTGTCAAGGACTATAATGAAGATTTCTAAGGAGGATCAAGAAAGAGAAAGGAAAAGAGGTTAAAAGACGGAGCGCTGGACGTCAGATAAATCACCAGAAGAAGGCAGAGAGGAAGTAAACCATAACAGGACACGGAATGGGCTCTGTAGTTTGTTTAGTATATGGCCATGTACAGGCCCGGGTCCAGAACAAAATGACTCAGGGTGCATCTGAGATTACAGGGGGCGCAGCAGTAGTAGGTTTACATGAGCAATAGTGGCCGGCAACAGCAATGAAAAATAGCATTGATGGTCCCCAATGAACAGATTATGGCATTTGTTATGTTTTGAAACCAAGCAAGTGAGAACATTTCAAGTGAGTTAAAAGTGCAATCCTGAAATATTTCATATAGTCCAA